CAGTGCAATATTTCATCATGCTACTCAAAACAGTATGCAATTTAGGCCGGGCGCAGTGACTCATGTCTGTAATCCCAGCACTTTGGGAGGCCAAGGTAGGCGGATCACTTGAGGTCACAAGTTCGAGACCAGCCTGGCCAACATGGCGAAACCCCATCTCTACTAAAAATACAAAAATTAGCCAGGCATAGCGGTGTGCGCCTGTAATCTCAGTTGCTACAGAAGCAGGAGAATCGCTTGAACCTAGGAGGTGGAGGTTGCAGTGAGCTGAGCTCATGCCACTGCACTCCAGCCTGTGTGACAGAGTGAGACTCTATCTCAAAAAAAAAAAAAAAGAACATATGTAATTTAAAATTTATTAGCTTATTTCTAGAATTTTCTGTTTAGTATTTTCAGATCTAGAGGACCCCAGGTAACTGAAACCTTGGAAAGTGAAACCAAGGATAAGAGGGGACAGTAATTGCTCATCAAATTCTGTAAATTGTAGTTCTAAATCTTTCTCCTCATTTCCATCCTTTATGTCATTTTGTCACTCTTAGCGTTATGGACTGAATGTCTATGTCCTCCCAAAATGTGTATGTTGAAGCCCTAACCCTCAGTGTGCTTGTATGTGGAGATGAGGCCTCAAAGGAAGTAATTAAAGTTAAATGATGTCATAAGAGTGAGTTCTGATCCAACAGAATTTGTGTCATCATAAGAAGAGACACCAAAGAGTTTGCACCTCTCTCCCCCATGCCCATGCACCAGGGAAAGGCCACAAGAACACAGAGTGGGAAGGCAGCCCGAGGGGAGAGCTCACATCAGACATCAACCCTGCTGGCACCTTGATCTTAGACTTCCAGTCTCCAGACTGTGAGAAAATTAATTTCAATTGTATTTTGTTATGGCAGCCAGAGCAGAATAATACACTTAGTTCAGCCCTATATAATTTACCCAAGCCCTTGCTTGCTTGCTTGCTTCCTTTCTTTTATAGCTGGTCACTACTATATTTGTGTATTAATTTTTAGATAGCTTTTTGAGGTATAATTGATACACAAAAAAAATACACTTATTTAATGTATACAATTTGATGAGTTTGGATCCAAAAACTGGTTTCTTTGCCTCATTTACATCTACCCTTCAAACTGAAGCCAGGAATTTTTCTAAAATGCAAATCTAACTTGTTTAAACCGTTTTATGGCTCCCAGTGCCTATGGTGGTGGTCTCCAACTTACATCCCTTTAAGTAAGAAAAATTTAGATACAGCATGCACAGTGTATGTGTATTCCTTAGATTATATATCTACATGTCTACTTCTATACACAAAAGATATTAAAATATATAAAGTTAAAATAAACAATACTTAAATGTTTAAAATCTAATGTATTCATGAACAGTCCAGAAAACTTTATTTTTGCTGCATAAAAGCACACACACACACATAAAAACCCTTTGTTAATTTCCCTTCAGCAAAAGCAACGAGAATGACCATGTCATCTATAGCCATACCACCCTGAACATGCCCGATCTCGTCTAATCTTGGAAGCTAAGAGGGGTTGGGACTGGTTAGTACTTGGATGGGAGATTGACCATGTCAGATCTAATTACATTGTCATTGATTTTACCTCCAAACGTGGCTGACAATGAACTTGTGTTGGGAGTTGGAAAAACATCAGTTCAGCCATTTTCTTTATGCTCATTTGGGTTCACTATAATCTTCTAGTATAGTCTTCAATCAGAGGTTTCTTTATAGGACTCTTTAAAAGCCACATATCCATTATGACATTTCATTTAGTTAAAACTAGATCATGTAATCAATAAATCCACTTAACCAGGCAGAAGAAAACCACAAAAGCTCACAATTGGCCGAACATAAACGAAGAAGTGAGTCAGTCCACTGTCAACCCCTTAGAAGGGCAGAATGGCTCCTCCTATCTCAAGATTTTTAGAGTGCAGGCTATCTGACCGTCTGATATGGTGATCAAACAAAGACACTTCTGACAATCCACATAGTAAATATCAGTAAAAAATATTTTATGTTCAAAGATTAAAAGTAAGCTCTAATAATTTCTTCAGTTCCCTAAGGGGTCATCAAGCATGAATCCTCTGGCTGATGACAAGAACTTTCTGTTTGCCATGGAAGATCTCTTTGAACCCCAATCTGCCGCCTATAGCCTCTCCAGCAAATTTCTCTCTCAGCACCAACTCTGCTCTTTCACAACCTTGATCCAGTTTTACTGTATTGCTCACCACGCCCCAAATATTCTGTGCTCACATCCCCCCGTGCACGAACTGCAAGGATGATGTCAGATAACACAAGTGAAAGCACCTGGCACCTAATAGGTGCTTTGAGTAAACGCAAGTTGACTTTCACCTCAAGCTAGTTAAACTAAGTGGTTCTACAAAGTTAGCCTGCCGCAAAACCACCTGGAAAACTTGTCATAGCACAGATCGTTGTCACTCACCCACCAGAGTTTCTGACTCAATAGTTCTAATGTGGGCCTGAGAAGTTGCATTTCTAACAAATTCCAAGGTGATGTTGATGCCATGGGTCTGGGAATCAGTGAACTAGACGACTCATATAGCTTCTCCTATTTCTAACGATCTCTGAATCCTCAATGCCTTTAATAGAGAGCAAATGAACAATGAACTTTTATCCCTATATAATATTTGACATTATCATGAAGGGAAATATGAACTCTATAATACCTCAGATGCACAGTGTAGAGAAAAGAGCATATACTTTTGAATCAGAAGATCTTCTTGAAATCCCACTTTATAGCAGTGTCGTTGACCTAAGGTAAGTTAACTAATCTCTGAGTCTGAGTTTCTTATTCGGCAAAACAGGAGTGTATTAAAGTAGTACCTGCTTCATAGTGTTAATTGTGAGATAATATATATGGGAAATAATTTGTAAAAAGAAAAGTACTATATACAGACTGCCCCAATAAGACATATGCATAATGTATTAATGTACATTTAACATGTAGAATAGAAAGATAATAAATAATACATGTTTTGGCTGGGCGTGGTGGCTCATGCCTGTAATCCCAGCACTTTGGGAGACCGACACGGGTGGATCACCTGAGTCAGGAGTTCAAGATCAGCCTGGCCAACATGGTGAAACCCCATCTCTACTAAAAATACAAAAATTAGCCAGGCGTGGTGGCACACGCCTATAATTGCAGCTACTCAGCGGACTGAGGCAGGAGAATCTATTGAACCTGAGAGGCGGAAGTTGCAGTGAGCCAAGATAGTGCCACTGCACTCCAGCCCAGGCTACAGAGTGAGACTTGGTCTCGAAAAAAATAAAATAAAATAATAACAATACATGTTTTGAATACTTTAAATCACAAATTTTCAAAATTTCCAATCCAAATACTAATTCATTTTTGAAAACTATATGATCTACATGTTGCTATATCATCTAAAATATGTACATAATTTATTAGTACTACTGGTAGATACTAATAATAGTAGTAGCTGTGGCAGCCAGCTTCCAAGATGGTCCCCAATGATACTTTCCTCCCAATATCCACACTTTTGTGTAGTTTCCTCCCATGCTGAATCAGTGACCAATAGAATGCTGTAAGGCTAAGGCTAACTCACAAGGGACATTGCCACTTCCTGTGGCCTTTTACATCTCTCACTCTGGGAAAAGCCAGCTGCTACACAAATAAAGACACTTAAGCAGCTCTGTGAAGACACCCTAAAAGGCCAAATGGGAAAGAAATAAGGCCTCCTGCCAACAGCTAGCACCAGACATGTGAGTGTGCAGCCTTAAGATCCTCCAGCCCCAGGCTAGGCGCGGTGGCTCACGCCTTTAATCCCAGCACTCTGGGAGGCCGAGGAGGGTGGATCACGAGGTCAGGAGTTCGAGACCAGCCTGGCCAACATGGAAAAACCCCATCTCTACTAAAAATACAAAAATTAGCTGGGCATGGTGGCAGGCGCCTGTTAGTCCCAGCTACTCGGGAGGCTGAGGCAGGAGAATCGCTTGAACCCGGGAGGTGGAGGTTGCAGTGAGCCGAGATCATGTCACTGCACTCTAGCCTGGGCAACAGAGCAAGACTGTGTCTTAAAAAAAACAAAAAAAAAAAGATCTTCCAGCCCCAGTCTATGTTTCAGATGATTGCAACCTAAGCCAACAGCTGGCTACACCTCATGAGAGGCCCCAAGCCACTCCCAAATGCTTGATCCACAGAAACTATAACATAATGAATTATTATTGCTGTTTGACACTACAAATTTATTTATCTATCTACCTATCTATCTATCTATCTATCTATCTATCTATCTATCTATCTATTTATTTGAGATGGAGTCTTGCTCCATTGCCCAGACTGGAGTGCAGTGGCATGATCATGGCTTACCGCAGCCTCGACCTCCTGGGTTCAAGCAATGCTTCCACCTCAGCCTCTCAAGTAACTGGGACTACAGGCGCCCACCACCATGCTCAGCTAATTTGTTTTATTTTTTGTAGAGATGAGGTCTCACAATGTTGACCAGTCCGGCACTATGAACTTATAAAGTGTTCTGTTATAGGACAGTAGATAACTGATACTGTAGCTAACATTTAGTGTGCATTTACAATGTTCCAGGAACTATGCCAAGGAACTAAGGACCCAACAGCCTTATGATGCAGATGCTATTACAATTCCCAAAGAAGAAAGGGTGCCCCAGAGAAGTTAAGCCATTCAGTCAAGTTCCATGACTAGTAAGTGGCAGAAGCAGAATTTGAACCCAAGTCTCTAACTCCAAGCCCCAGTTTCTTGGTCACTCATTTAGACAAGCCAACATAAAACCTCCTGCATAGTTAAACAGCAGAAGCAACTGAACCCCTGGAGGAGAGCAAACTTGTATAAAGCTAGCAGAGGGTAGCCCAGGGGCCACACCTGAAACAGCATTAATGCCTGATGCTGCAAGCCCCAGAACTTCCAAGCTGGCCCCACCTCCCAGCCCTTATATTGTCAGGCCAGCTGTCTCTCAGGAAAATCATGCCCAAGATTCCCAGGACTCACCCAGATCTGTAGTTTCACCCGCTTCTCGTGACGGTAGACCGTCTTCACCTTGAAGTCGATGCCCACAGTGCTAACAAAGGCCGGGGTGAACGTGTCATCAGCATAGCGGAAGAGGAAGGAGGTCTTGCCAACACTGCTGTTGCCAATGATAAGCAGTTTAAACATGTAGTCAAAATTCTGGTCAGAGGCGTCTTTGACTCCAGTTTTACCATCCGTCACTGAAGCCATCTGCAAGAGAGACCTAGGGTCACTCAGGAACAGACCTTCAGTGTCACCTTGAGTCACCAACCTTCTAATGGTCACCCCACCATTCACGCACTCACTCCTTACCCCAGCAGCACCAAGGAAATGCACACTACTCAGAATCACTCCATCACTACACCTGCCCCAAATGTTGTCTCAGCACTGGGGTGGAACCCAGCTCCTCCCATTCATTCCTTCAGCAAATATTTACTGAGCACATTGATCTGGGGCAAGCCCTATGCTGGTCATGGGACTTACAAATATGAGTCAGACATGGTGCCTGACCTCTAGGTGGACAAAGACTAGAATAAAAGGTGGGTCAACACAGAGTAACAAAGCAGTAGATAAGTGATAAGACAGAGGAAGTCCTGGCTGAGGAAGTCCATGAGAAGCATCTTACTGAGCCTGGAGGCCCGGTGATCAAGGAAAGGCTCCTGGAGGAAGCAGCTCCTGAGCTATTTTGGAGAGGGGAAAAAAAAAAAAAGCCAAGAACAGCAAACACATGCGCATCCAAGGAAAGACTCAGTAAAGAGCTATCACTCTCTTGCTTTAAAAACTTTTATGACTCAGAAGGCTGAAGTGGGAGGATCACTTGAGCCCAGGAGTTCAACACTGCCGGGAGCCATGATCATGCCACTGAATGCCGGCCTGGGCAACAGAGCAAGACCTCATCTCTAAAAAATAAAATAAATAAAAAATAGAAACTTTCATGGCTTTCCACAGCTCTAAAGATGAAGTCCAAACTGCTCAACTTGACAAATAATCAACTAACCAAAGAGCCAACTCTCTAAGCTTTATCTTCCTATACCCCTTCTCTTCACCAACCTGTGCTTCCTTTAGATCAAATTACACACTTTATGCCAAATAAGCCACATTATTTCTTGCCTTTGTCGCTTTATACATATATTCCTTCTGCCTAGAATTCTCTTTTCCTCCTAACAAACTCCTACCCATCCTTGGAGGTCCAGGTCAAGTGCCAGCTTCCCTGTGCATGGCAGAGGCAGGCACTCCTGCCCCTGTGCCCTCAGAACACTGTAACAGCCCTTATATCACTTCAGCACTGTTGGAATGAGCAGCTGGGCCTTAATGGACTTCATTCCTAGATGTCTGGTTTCCAGCACGAATCCTAGCACACAATAAACACTCAGGAAATGTGTGCTGAATTCATCACAGTCACTTCATCACTCTGGGGCTCAATCTCCTCATCTGAAAAATGGGGAGAACAATTTCCACCCTGCTCTTCTCACAGGGCTATCACAGGACTCAAACGAGATAACAATGGATGAAACCATTATCAACTGCTAAATTCCACACAGGTGTGAACATATGTCCTTATTATTCCAAAGCCTTCAAAGCCTAGGTCCTTTATTTGTTCACTCATTCATTCATTCATTCAGCAAATATTTAATACATGCCAGACCTTTCCTGAGACCCCAGCCTTCTCAGTTCTGTCACCATCTGCTTTCCTAGAACACCCAAATCTGAACTCCATAATTCAGCACTTGGTCACATGGTCTTATTTAAGTCTTTAATTGCTTCTCCTATGTCTTGGAAGCCTCAGGTACCCTGCTTCTCCACCTGAAATCTCCCCTTGTGCTCAGCACAAGGGTACCCAGATGGCTGGATGAGCGGTCAGAGGAGGGTGGGAGGACAGCATTCAAGTGTGATGGTGTCTGGGTTTTCATTCCTGTTAGGAATTCCTGCTTTTTTCCCCAAGGAAAAATCAAGGGCATGAGGCTGGTGGGTGTGGCTCTTTGGGCCTCTCAGGTGAGCTGTAAGGATAAGGAGCTGATTAATGTAGGTTTAAAGCTCTCTTGAAGAAAAGTTAGACAAATATGTAAGATTGTCAGCAGCCTTTTAATAAAAGTTCCTTGCATATGTCACCACTGGACTCCTGTGGTCTCTGTTCTTTCTTCCCTTTGCTCCCAGCTCTCAATCCTTATCTGAGACTCTAAGTTCCATCCCTGTATCATCTGTCCCATGACAAGACTCACTAGGCAAGTGTGGAACATGCCCAGGCCACTTGGAGACTGAGGTATAGCACTTACATGGAGGAAGAAAGTGAGGTTGGAAGGGAGGGTGCCATTGGCTGCTTAAACCATCTCACAGCCTTAACTTTTCAGCTTTTCATGGTACTAGGTGCAAAGGCTATTGCAAAAACTTGCCATGCAAAGGCATTATGCTTTTACTTTTTTATTTTATTTTTTTTTTGAGATGGAGTCTTGCTCTTTTGCCCAGACTGAAGTGCAGTGGTGCAATCTCTGCTCACTGCAACCTCTGCCCCCTGAGTTCAAGCGATTCTTCTGCCTCAGCCTCCCAAATAGCTGGGATTATAGGCATCCACCATCACGCCTAGTTAATTTTTGTATTTTTAATAGAGACAGGGTTTTGCCATGTTAACCAGGCTGGTTTGAACTCCTAACCTCAGGTGATCCACGTGCCTCAGCCTCCCAAAGAGCTAGGATTACAAGTGTGAGCCACAACTCCTGGCCACATTATGCTTTTTCTACATTAAAACAAGGGACGCAACCACAACAACCTCACGCCATCCTCCACTCTGCTGTTTGCCAGTCATCTTTCTTTGTTCACAAGAGAAAATTCCTACTATGAATGTATTCATTATAAAAAAGTTGAAAATTACATTATATGAAAGTGTAAAAAAGAGAATTTAAAATTAACTGACATCTGGCCAGGCACGGTGGCTCAGGCCTGTAATCCCAGCACTTTGGGAGGCCGAGGTGGGTGAATCACGAGGTCAAGACACTGAGACCATCCTGGCTAACACAGTGAAACCCCATCTCTGGAAAAATACAAAAAATTGGCCGGGTGTGGTGGTGGGTGCCTGTTGTCTCAGCTACTTGGGAGGCTGAGGCAGGAAAATGGCATGAACATGGGAGGCAGAGCTTGTAGTGAGCTGAGATCCATGCCACTGCACTCCAGCCTGGGCAACAGAGCGAGATACCACCCCCCCAAAAAAAAAAACAAAAATTAACTGACATCCCACCCACTCAGAAACTATGGCTGTTAACATTTTAGTGTATGTCCTTCAATATTTTTTCATACAAGAGTGCCACCTAAGGCCAGGTGCAGTGGCTTACACCTGCAATCCCAGCACTTTGGGAAGCCCAAGTGGGAGGATGGCTTCAGGTCAGGAGTTCAAGACCAGCCTGGGCAACATAGGGAGACCCCATTTCTACAAAAAGTAAAAAATTAGCCAGGTGTGGAGGCACACATCTATAATCCCAGCTGCTTGGGATGCTAAGGCAGGAGTATTATTTGAGCCCAGAAATTTGAAGCTGCAGTAAGCCATGATTGTGTCACTGCACTCCTGCTTGGGCAACAGAGCAAGACTGTCTCTACCAAAAAAAAAAAAAAACCTCCTCTCTCCAGTCCACGCCTCCAAGATGACAAAGAAAAGAAGGAACAACGGTCGTGCCAAAAAAGGCCCGCGACCACGTGCAGCCTATTCACTGCATGAACTGTGCCCAATGTGTATACAAGGACAAGGCCATTAAGAAATTCGTCATTCAAAACATAGTGGAGGCCACAGCAGTCAGGGACATTTCTGAAGCAAGTGTCTTTGATGCCTATGTGCTTCCCAAGCAGTATGTGAAGCTACATTACTGTGTGAGTTGTGCAATTCACAGCAAAGTAGTCAGGAATCGGCCTCATGAATCCTGCAAGGACCAAACACCCCCACCCGGATTTAGACCTGCGGGTGCTGCCCCACGGCTCCCACCAAAGCCCATGTAAGGAGCTGAGTCCTTAAAGACTGAAGATGGACTATTCTCTGGAGAAAACTAAAATGGAAATTGTACTTAAAAAACAGGCCATCTGGCCGGGCGCGGTGGCTCAAGCCTGTAATCCCAGCACTTTGGGAGGCCGAGACGGGCGGATCACGAGGTCAGGAGATCGAGACCATCCTGGCTAACACGGTGAAACCCCGTCTCTACTAAAAAATACAAAAAACTAGCCGGGCGAGGTGGCGGGCGCCTGTAGTCCCAGCTACTCGGGAGGCTGAGGCAGGAGAATGGCGTGAACCCGGGAGGCGGAGCTTGCAGTGAGCTGAGATCCGGCCACTGCACTCCAGCCTGGGCGACAGAGCGAGACTCCGTCTCAAAAAAAAAAAACAGGCCATCTATTTTAATATTATATTTTATTTGTTAATTTAAAAGATAATACACACTTATGGAAAATAATTCAAGCATATCCTATTTGCAAGTATTACCTTTTTTACCAGCTGTAGTTTAATTCTTATTTTATTTTATTTTTTGAGACAGGGTCTCACTCTGTCGCCCAGGCTGGAGTGCAATGGCGCTATCTTGGCTTACTAGTCTTGACCTCCTGGGCTCAAGTGATCCTCTTACCTCAGCTTCCCGAGTAGCTGGGACTACAGGCATGTGCCACCATGCCCAGCTAATTTTTGTACTTTTTGTAGAGATGGGGTTTCACCATGTTGTCCAGGATGGTCTCAAACCGGGATCAAGTGATCTGCCCTCCATGGCCTCCCAAAGTGCTAGCATTACAGGCAAGAGCCACTGCACCCAGCTGCATTATTTTCTTAATTCCTGGCATCAAAAACAAGTAATATGAAACCTAAAGGTTTAAACTGAAAAGTAAGTCTTGCTTCCATCTTTGATTCCTGATCCAGCTCCCCTCCCCTAGAGGCATACATGTTATCAATTTATATATCCTTCAGAGATAGCCTTTGCATATATAAGCAAAGAGATCTATTTATATTTTATTTATATACAAATAACATACCATGCATTTTAGTTTATACCTTCTATGCATATTGTAATAGCTGATATCGTATGCACAGAAGGTAGAGACTAGAATATACGGTATGCTATTATTTAGCAAATCACTTAAATTTTAAAAGTACAATCATGAACCGCATAACAACGTTTCAGTCAGTGACAGACCACATGTACAATGGTGGTCCCATAAGATTATAATGGAGCTGAAAAATTCCTATTGCCTAG